CTATTCTTCCCATTGATACCAGCAACTGGGGACTTTTCCTCCCATTAGAACCAATGATGGTGCACCCATGCCGAGGCATTTTCTACCATAATGGCCACAGTGACCCCGGTCACACCGGATGTGAAGTCGCATGCCAAATCACAACCTATTGTCCAACCAATTAGAGCGGTCATATCAGTACGGTTCCGACTTGGTCGATTTCCAAAGTAGTACATGCGCTGCTTTTAGTGCTGTGTCAGATGTCTTGCAAATCGCACCTGAAATCAGCATGTCATCCGATTTTGAAATCGCGCGACTTCGCTGTAAGTCGCACGATTTCAAAGTAGGGTTTGATGTGACTGGGGGGTTAGTCGCCGGTCACAACGCTGCGATTTGTGTGCCATTTCAGGTGCGATTTATGAAGAATTTACCCTCCGGTCACATCAAGCCCGACGGTGAAGTCACATGATTTCAAAGTCGGGGGGACCCGCCGATTTCAGGTGCGATTTGCATAGACATCTGATACAGATATCTATGCAAATCGCACCAAAAGTGTTGCATGGACTACTTTTGAAATCGGTGCAGCTCTGACCAAGTCATAGGGAGGAGTAGAGTCCCATCATTTGTATCAGTAGGGGGAATTATGCCCCATCATTGGTGTCAGTGGGCCCCATTGTTGGTGTCATTGGGAGGAATTGTGCCACATCGTTGGTGTCAGTGACAGGAATTATGTCCCGTCAGCTGTGTCATTGTGCCCCATTGTTGGCATCATATGGAGGAATAGAGTCCCATCCTTTGTATCAGTAGGGGGAATTATGCCCCATCGTTGGTGTCAGTGGGCCCCATTGTTGGTGTCATTGGGAGAAATTGTGCCCCGTCGTTGGTGTCATTGGGAGAAATTGTGCCCGTCGTTGGTGCCAGTGAGAGGAATTATGCCCCGTCAGCAGTGTCATTGTACCCCATTGTTGGTGTCATAGGGAGGAATAGCGTCCCATCATTTGTATCAGTAGGGGGAATTATGCCCCATTGTTGGTGTCAGTGGGCCCCATTGTTGGTGTCATTGGGAGAAATTGTGCCCCATCGTTGGTGTCAGTGAGAGGAATTATGCCCCATCAGCGGTGTCATTGTGCCCTATTGTTGGTGTCATTGGGAGGAATAGCGTCCCATCATTTGTATCAGTAGGGGGAATTATGCCCCATCGTTGGTGTCATTTGGAGAAATTGCGCCACATCGTTGGTGTCAGTGAGAGGAATTATGCCCCATCAGCGGTGTCAGTGGGCCCCACTGTTGGTGTCATTGGGAGAAATTGTGCCCCATCATTGGCGTCAGTGGGGGGAATTATGCCAAATTGTTGGTATCAATGGCTGAAATAGTGCCCCAAGGGCCACATAAAAGCAAAGGGCCACATCTGGCCCTCGGGCCGCAGTTTGGAGACCACTGCTTTATGCTATCCTTTTGTCAGTTCCCACATTACTCCAAGTGTACTGACTCCATAGAAAACAAATCACTGCGCTGCTTCTCCTTTCACTGTTCAGTCCCAGGCAGGGAGTGGGTCCAGGGTGACCTGGGATCACAGGAAGTGGGTTGACTTATACTTGCCATCAGACTGAGGACACTTAGTGGCAGAAGAACAATACTGCGGTTAAAATCCTTGTATTGAAGGTAAATATTTAAAGCAAAATGTTGTTATTTGTCCCGTTATCTTTTGAGGGCTCTACATTTGCACCTTGTTACTTCTGACCAGGGGCGGACTGACCATTTGGAAACTTGGGCACTGCCCGAGGGCCCGGGGTCAGTAGGGGGCCCCATGAGATGCCCCTGGTACCTTTTTCATAGGCTTTTTTGAGTTTGGGCAAGGACACAGGGGCCCCATGATCCCCTATGGCCCGGGGGCCCCATGAGTTGTCAGTCTGCCCCTGCTTCTGACCAGGGATCGGCTTCAGGAAACTGATCCATGTCTGCATTTTTTTTTGAGCCTTCAAATTAATTTTCTATTCACAGACCTGATGACACGGACCGAATACCAGCGTGGCATTCACACCCCACCGCTTGTCAAGTCGGCTGTCAGCATCAGCATGCCTGGCGTGTCCGAGGGCTCCGGAGCCGATAAAGATGGGGGCCCTGAACCGAACGGCAGGTGTTCGGGCGTGGCCCAGCCTATAAAGGCTCGGCAAGTCCTGGCGTACCTTCCACGGCCCCCTACGGACACCAGCCGTTACCGTAGCTTTCCACAGAAGGTAAGCAGCGTGCAGAGAAAGTAGCAAATACATTGGCTCCTCGGTTTACTTGCATTGATTGGTTGATGGAGGACCAAATCAGAACATTTGAACCCTTGTGTGGTTGAGATCCTTGGGGGAAAAAAAAACCAAGCTGACTCTACCTTTCTGTTTCCGCAGCCAGAATGCGTGGTGGTTCCAACGTATCCAGCAGAGACCAAAGCGGCTCCTCACCCGATGCCACCACCGACTCACCCCCTTCTTCCACTTCCCGACATCATGCCTCGTAGTGTCTACAAACGTCATATGAGCACCACAGACATCAACTATCCCTACCCAGCCCGACCTCGCCAAAGCGTCTGCATCTCTTCTGACCTCCCAAAGTACCGCTGCTCTTCCCTAAAAGATGGCGGACATTCCAACGGACGCTGGTACCCCCGCCATGCCATCAGCGTTCCCGACATTACTCACGGACCTCGTTACATCAACATGCCACCCCGCGGGGTCTTTTCTGCCCCGGCAACAGGGCCTGACAAGACTCCGAAACATCGATGCAAACTAATGGAGGCCGAACTTCACCAAGGCAAGGCCTCCACGCAGAAAGAGCGCCAGAGGTACGTGGCAAAGGACGGCAAATGCCAAGTCAACTTGGACGCATTGAAGAGAAGGGGCGCTTCTTGTCGGACATTTTCACTACCATAGTTGATCTCAAGTACCGCTGGTTTCTCTTTGTGTTCATGATGTGCTACATTGTGACGTGGCTGATCTTTGCCACCATCTACTACCTAGATGCCTTTTGGCGCCATGATTTGCTTCACTTTGAAAATGACGACTGGAGCCCGTGCTTTCAGAACGTCGACAGCTTTATATCAGCCTTGCTTTTCTCTGTGGAGACCCAACGTACCATCGGATATGGTTCCCGCATGGTTACGGCCAACTGCCAAGAAGGGGTCTACCTGGTCATGGCCCAGTCCATTGTTGGATCCATGATTGACGCTCTCATGGTGGGCTGCATGTTCGTCAAAATTTCCCGCCCCAAGAAGAGAGCCCAGACACTGATCTTCAGCCAGAACTGTGTGGTGTGCCCGCGGGATGAGCGTCTCTGCTTGATGTTCCGTATTGGTGACCTACGAGACAGCCATATGGTGGACGCCCAAAATCCGGGCAAAGCTGATTAAGTCACGACAGACCTATGAAGGGGAATTCCTCCCCCTAGAACAGTCAGAAATAAACCTTGGCTACGAGACGGGAGAAGATCGATTATTCCTGGTGGAGCCGCAAGTCATCTGTCACGTGATCGATGAAAAAAGTCCTTTTTATGAAATGGGACCACAGGAACTTATGCGAGACCAGTTTGAGATCATCGTCATTCTGGAAGGAGTTGTAGAAGCCACGGGTAAGTGAATCAGCACCATAAAGCCAGTCTGAAGCTGTTTGGACAGCTTGGCATGTTAGCAGTGACAAGGTCAGTTATACGATATGGCCAAAAGTATGTGGACCTCCAATGATGGAGTTCAGGTGTTTCTAATGATGGGTACCGGTAACACTACAACATACTAAGGCATTGAAGACAATTTTTGCCCTTCCTACCTTGTAGTAACAGTTTGGTGAAGACCCTTTTGTGTTCAAAAAAAAAAAGTTTGACCAGTTTGGTATGGAGGAGCTCGAGTGTCCTGACCTCAACCCTACTGAACACTTTTTAGGTGAATTGGTACGCTAATCGTGAGTCAGTTCTTCTCCTCCAGCATCAGTACCTGACCTCACAAATGTTATTTTGGCAAATAATTCCGACGGACACATTCCAAAATCTTACAGGAAACCTTCCCAGAAGAGTGGATGCTGTTGTAGTTGCAAATTGGGAGCAACTTCATATTAATGGCCATGGTTTTGGAATAAGATGTCCAACATTTTTCACACTGGCCAGCAATGTAAGGGACATTCTTCCCACTGATCACCAATGTAAGGGACATTCTTCCCCACTGACCACCAATGTAAGGGACATTCTCCCACTGACCCCCAATGTAAGGGACATTCTTCCCACTGATTCCACCAATGTAAGGGACATTCTTCCCACTGACCACCAATGTAAGGGACATTCTTCCCACTGACCACCAATGTAAGGGACATTCTTCCCACTGATCCCCAATGTAAGGATTCTTTCTTCCCACTGACCCCCATTGTAAGGGACAGTCTTCCCACTGATCACCAATGTAAGGGACATTCTTCCCACTGACCCCCAATGTAAGGGACATTCTTCCCACTGACCACCAATGTAAGGGACATTCTTCCCACTGACCACCAATGTAAGGGACATTCTTCCCACTGACCCCAATGTAAGGGACATTCCCTTAAGGGACATTCTTCCCACTGACCCCCAATGTAAGGACATTCTTCCCACTGACCACCAATGTAAGGGACATTCTTCCCACTGACCCCAATGTAAGGGACATTCTTCCCACTGACCCCCATTGTAAGGGACATTCTTCCCACTGACCCCAATGTAAGGGACATTCTTCCCACTGATCCCCAATGTAAGGGACATTCTTCCCACTGACCCCCATTGTAAGGGACAGTCTTCCCACTGACCCCCAATGTAAGGGACATTCTTCCCACTGACCCCAATGTAAGGGACATTCTTCCCACTGACTCCCAATGTAAGGGACATTCTTCCCACTGACCCCCAATGTAAGGGGACATTCTTCCCACTGACCACCAATGTAAGGGACATTCTTCCCACTGACCCCCAATGTAAGGGACATTCTTCCCACTGACCCCCAATGTAAGGGACATTCTTCCCACTGACCCCCAATGTAAGGGACATTCTTCCCACTGACCACCAATGTAAGGCACATTCTCCCCACTGGCCACCAATGTAAGGGACATTCTCCCCACTGGCCACCAATGTAAGGGACATTCTCCCCACTGGCCACCAATGTAAGGGACATTCTTCCCCACTGACCCCCAATGTAAGGGACATTCTCCCACTGACCCCCAATGTAAGGGACATTCTCCCCACTGGCCACCAATGTAAGGCACATTCTTCCCACTGACCCCCAATGTAAGGGACATTCTTCCCACTGACCCCCAATGTAAGGCACATTCTTCCCACTGACCCCCAATGTAAGGGACATTCTTCCCACTGACCACCAATGTAAGGACATTCTTCCCACTGATGGGACATTCTTCCCCACTAATGTAAGGGACATTCTTCCCACTGGCCACCAATGTAAGGGACATTCTCCCCACTGACCCCAATGTAAGGAGACATTCTTCCCACTGACCCCCAATGTAAGGGACATTCTTCCCACTGACCCCCAATGTAAGGACATTCTTCCCACTGACCACCAATGTAAGGGACATTCTCCCCACTGACCCCCAATGTAAGGACATTCTTCCCACTGACCACCAATGTAAGGGACATTCTTCCCACTGACCACCAATGTAAGGGACATTCTTCCCACTGACCCCCAATGTAAGGGACATTCTTCCCACTGACCCCCAATGTAAGGGACATTCTTCCCACTGACCCCCAATGTAAGGGACATTCTTCCCACTGACCCCAATGTAAGGCACATTCTTCCCACTGACCACCAATGTAAGGCACATTCTCCCCACTGGCCACCAATGTAAGGGATATTCTTCCCACTGGCCAGCAATGTAAGGGGCATTCTTCCCACTGACCCCCAATGTAAGGGACATTCTTCCCACTGATCACCAATGTAAGGGACATTCTTCCCACTGATCACCAATGTAAGGGACATTCTTCCCACTGACCACCAATGTAAGGGACATTCTTCCCACTGACCCCCAATGTAAGGGACATTCTTCCCACTGACCACCAATGTAAGGGACATTCTTCCCTTTGATCACCAATGTAAAGGACATTCTTCCCTTTGATCACCAATGTAAGGGACATTCTTCCCACTGACCACCAATATAAGGGACATTCTTCCCACTGATCACCAATGTAAGGGACATTCTTCCCACTGATCACCAATGTAAGGGACATTCTTTTCACTGACCACCAATGTAAGGGACATTCTTCCCACTGACCCCCAATGTAAGGGGCATTCTTCTCACTGACCCCCAATGTAAGAGACATTCTTCCCACTGACCACCAATGTAAGGGACATTCTCCTCACTGGCCACCAATGTAAGTGGCATTCTTCCCACTGGTCACCATTGTAAGGGACATTCTTCACTGACCACCAATGGAAGGGACATTCTTCCCACTGACCCCCAATGTAAGGGACATTCTTCCCACTGACCCCCAATGTAAGGGACATTCTTCCCACTGACCACCAATATAAGGGACATTCTTCCCACTGGTCACCAATGTAAGGACATTCTTCCCACTGGCCACCAATGTAAGGGACATTCTTCCCACTGGCCCCCAATGTAAGGGCATTCTTCCCACTGACCCCCAATGTAAGGGACATTCTTCCTACTGATCACCAATGTAAGGGACATTCTTCCCACTGATCACCAATGTAAGGGGACATTCTTCCCACTGACCACCAATGTAAGGGGCATTCTTCCCACTGACCCCCAATGTAAGGGACATTCTTCCCACTGACCACCAATGTAAGGGACATTCTTCCCTTTGATCACCAATGTAAAGGGACATTCTTCCCTTTGATCACCAATGTAAGGGACATTCTTCCAACTGATTCTTCCTTTTGATCAACCAATATAAGGGACATTCTTCCCACTGATCACCAATGTAAGGGACATTCTTCCCACTGATCACCAATGTAAGGGCATTCTTTTCACTGACCACCAATGTAAGGGGCATTCTTCCCACTGACCCCCAATGTAAGGGGCATTCTTCTCACTGACCCCCAATGTAAGAGACATTCTTCCCACTGACCACCAATGTAAGGGACATTCTCCTCACTGGCCACCAATGTAAGTGGCATTCTTCCCACTGGTCACCATTGTAAGGAACGTTCTTCACTTTGACCACCAATGGAAGGGACATTCTTCCCACATACCCTGATTAATTTTACAGGGGTTCTCCAAGAACTGGAAATTATTTCAAGGATTCCTCTGGAGTAAAAAGGTTGATAACGGCTGATTCAGTCATATAGTTTCTGTCTGTTGTTTTTATTTATGTCTTTTATTTTATTATTATTATTGACTGATCAAATTTCAGGGTGCTATGTAGGGACACAAAAAATTCTAGATATTTACTAAAGAGCTACCAAGCAGAAATGAGGGAGTACAAGTCTGGAACAGTCCATATTTTAAAAACAAGAGATTATCTATAAATCACCCCGCATCCCTTAGGTAAATTTTGGACTAACTCCATCAGAGCTGCATCCTTACTCATCTCTTTTATTTCAGGTATGACCTGCCAGGCCAAAAGCTCTTACTTGGAGAATGAAATCATCTGGGGTCACCGTTTCGAGCCCTGCATGACCCTGGAAAAGGGCGCCTTTCGTGTGGACTACAAGCGCTTCCACAAGACATTCGAGGTCCAGCTACCACGCTGCAGTGCCAAGGAGATGGAGGAGATGAGGGATCTGGAGGGCTCGGAGTTCAGCTTCTACTGGGAGAATGGTGACTTCTTTACGGGACGTCGACACACCATGACAGATAGGTGGGACGAGGAAGAGGAGGAACACAGGAGGGCTCCAGGAGAGGGATTTTCAGATCGCAGTAGGAGGGTGATTGGAAACATCGCCGAAGAACGCAGCTTTGACTTCAATGGCAGCGACTGAAACCTCTGAGAGTGACTGAAAAATGTGGACCCAGAATGGTGGAGGCTGAAGACCAACTCAAGCCAGCCCTGATATTTCAGTTTTGTGTGGCTGAAGTTTAAGACCAACTCAAGCCAGCCCTGATATTTCAGTTTTTTGTGGCTGAAGCTGAAGACCAACTCAGATATTTTTTTGTGTGGCTGAAGCTGAAGACCAACTCAAGATTTCAGTTTTTTGTGGCTGAAGCTCAAGACCACCTCAAGCCAGCCCTGATATTTCAGTTTTGTGTGGCTGAAGCTGAAGACCAACTCAAGCCAGCCCTGATATTTCAGTTTTGTGTGGCTGAAGCTGAAGACCAACTCAAGCCAGCCCTGACATTTCAGTTTTTTGTGGCTGAAGCTGAAGACCACCTCAAGCCAGCCCTGATATTTCAGTTTTTTGTGGCTGAAGCTGAAGACCAACTCAAGCCAGCCCTGATATTTCAGTTTTGCGTGGTTGTTGACTAGTTCAACTGTAGGCTGACTTCTTAGATATAAGGAGGACTTCAGAAAATTTTTTCTACCAGAGAAAAGTCAATCAATGAGGTCACCTTCTCATGAAGGGTTTTCCACATATTGAACTGATATTTAAGGTGTCCAAAGTGATTCCTCATTCTGGGCTTGTGGAATGGCTGGAGACTTAAACCTCACCACTGTAGCCAGAGACACAAGCCACCACATCAAGGGATCCACCATTAGGGTGACCACCCACAAGTGAAGTTTTAGCAATGGTTGCAGTTCTTAGAGGGCTTTTTTTTTACATTTTGAATGGAGTATATATTAGTCGGGTTTTATTGCTATGTCCCTGCTGGAGAGATCCACATTCTCTTTTTGTCCAATGACCACTGCTGCTTGGAACTGAGAGTGATGGGAAATCAAAAATGCTAGAATAGGACAAGAGAGGAAATTGTCCAAGGAGGACATCTATTCCTCTGACAACCAAGAGGGGATTTTTCCTCACGTTGGAGGGGTTTCTTTTTACTTCCGGTTACAGGAAGTGAAGGGAAATCTTCCAGAAAAGACTAGAAAAAGGGCAGCAGAAAAAAAAAATAGGATTCTTTACCGCACTCTATCCAGTTTTGACTTCACATACATCTTAAAGCAGGCCTGCCATGGCAAACAGAAGGTCCACTTTTTCTGGCCAGCCCCTGCCTGCCAACAAGGATAGGTTGAAAGTGGCCATTTTGTAAATAAACCCCAAAAAAATTAATATGTACTTACCTTGGCTTGGCTTCCAGGAGGCATGGGTGGAGTCCTCAGGAGCGTGAACACACTCATGCAATAGGCTAGATTGAATTCTTGCAGGAGTTTCATTTGGATGATGTCATCTGTGACTCCCAGAAGATGAAGTCAAGGTACGTATGAGGTGTGACAATTTAATTCCCGGAATAGACTGTAAGAAGAAAAAAAAAATGCTTACCTATACACCAGCACCTTGTGTCCCCTTGTGAATCTACACACTTGTCACTTTCAAAGTAGTCCCCTTGTGAAGTGACTGCGCCACTGCCTGAAACATTCCTGGAATCCATTTTTTTTTCCAGAACGCTACACAGTATCTTTGTCGCGGCGCGCAGGATGTCGGGAATGTCATCAAACCTGTGTCCTTTTAAGGCATGTTTTAAATTTTGGAAACAGCCAAATATCTCAGGGTGCTAGGTCAGGGGAATAAGGTGGTTGGTTAAGTTTCGGAATGGATTTCTAGGTCAGGAACTCGTGAACACTTCATGCGAGCATCATGTGCAGAAGCATTGTCGTGGTGGAGAATCCACTTGTCAGGCCAGAGTTCCCGACTTTTCCTCCAAACAGATTCCCGTAATCTTTTCATTTTCCACATCTGCATCTGTTCTCTGTCTGTTTGGTTGCCCATCTCTTGCGTCATCGTGGACATCTTCCTGTCCCTCCTTAAACCACCTACGCCAGGAGTGTCAAACAGGTGGCCCTCCAGCTGTTGCGAAACTACAAGTCCCATCATGCCTCTGCCTATGGAAGTCATGCTTGTAACTGTGCATCTTGTAATACCTCATGGGATTTGTAGTTTGGCAACAGCTGGAGGGCCTCCAGTTTGACACCCGTGACCTATGCCATTCAAAAGCAGTTGACTTCTTCACGGAATGTTCACCACAAGTCTGTTATAACAGAGCGAAAGTTTCACTCGCACGTTTGCCAATTTTCACGCAGAATTTGATGTCAATCCACTGCTCCAGATTTCTGTCACACATTTTCCACCAACACCTGTTATTACTTCTATTACTCCATAAAGACCGAGTCCACTGGCCTGCGACCAAACAGAGTGCGAGTTAGAACATGGCAGAACACGCTCAAGTTCGAGTGGCTGTGGGACTCCCCACCATGGCGTTACACCGCGGGCATTCCAGAAATTAAATTGTCACACCTTGAGCGGCTTTTGAAGGCCATCAGTGTTGGGTAGGCTGAAAAAAGAGTGGGCTGTCCATTAGCCATGGAAGGTCCACTTAAACCATCTATGGAGGAACTCCTGGTCCTTGTATGTCCTATTAGCCTCTGACGGGTTGGACTTGCAGTTCCTCAAGCAGCTTGGTTAGGACTTGCAGTTCCTCAGCAGCTTGGCTAGGACTTGCAGTTCCTCAGCAGCTTGGGTAGGACTTGCAGTTCCTCAGCAGCTTGGGTAGGACATGCAGTTCCTCAGCAGCTTGGGTAGGACATGCAGTTCCTCAGCAGCTTGGGTAGGACTTGCAGTTCCTCAGCAGCTTGGTTAGGACTTGCAGTTCCTCAGCAGCTTGTGTAGGACTTGCAGTTCCTCAGCAGCTTGGGTAGGACTTGCAGTTCCTCAGCAGCTTGGGTAGGACTTGCAGTTCCTCAGCAGCTTGGGTAGGACTTGCAGTTCCTCAGCAGCTTGGGTGGGACATGCAGTTCCTCAGCAGCTTGGGTAGGACTTGCAGCTCCTCAGCAGCTTGGGTAGGACTTGCAGTTCCTCAGCAGCTTGGATAGGACTTGCAGTTCTCAGCAGCTTGTGCAGTACTTGCAGTTCCTCAAAAGCTTGGGTAGGACTTGCAGCTCCTCAGCAGCTTGGGTAGGACTTGCAGCTCCTCAGCAGCTTGGGTAGGACTTGCAGTTCCTCAACAGCTTGGGTAGGACTTGCAGTTCCTCAGCAGCTTGTGCAGTACTTGCAGTTTCTCAGCAACTTGTGCAGTACTTGCAGTTTCTCAGCAACTTGGTTAGGACTTGCAGTTCCTCAGCAGCTTGGGTAGGACTTGCAGTTCCTCAGCAGCTTGGGTAGGACTTGCAGCTCCTCAGCAGCTTGGATAGGACTTGCAGCTCCTCAGCAGCTTGGGTAGGATTTGCAGCTCCTCAACAGCTTGGGTAGGACTTGCAGTTCCTCAGCAGCTTGTGCAGTACCTGCAGTTTCTCAGCAACTTGGTTAGGACTTGCAGTTCCTCAGCAGCTTGGGTAGGACTTGCAGTTCCTCAGCAGCTTGGGTAGGACATGCAGTTCCTCAGCAGCTTGGGTAGGACTTGCAGCTCCTCAGCAGCTTGGGTAGGACTTGCAGTTCCTCAGCAGCTTGGGTAGGACTTGCAGTTCCTCAGCAGCTTGGGTAGGACATGCAGCTCCTCAGCAGCTTGGGTAGGACTTGTAGCTCCTCAGCAGCTTGGGTAAGACTTGTAGCTCCTCAGCAGCTTGGGTAGGACTTGCAGTTCCTCAACAGCTTAGGTAGGACTTGCAGTTCCTCAGCAGCTTGGATAGGACTTGCAGCTCCTCAGCAGCTTGGGTAGGACTTGCAGCTCCTCAGCAGCTTGGGTAGGACATGCAGTTCCTCAGCAGCTTGGGCAGGACTTGCAGCTCCTCAGCAGCTTGGGCAGGACTTGCAGCTCCTCAGCAGCTTGGGTAGGACTTGCAGCTCCTCAGCAGCTTGGGTAGGACATGCAGTTCCTCAGCAGCTTGGGTAGGACATGCAGTTCCTCAGCAGCTTGGGCAGGACTTGCAGCTCCTCAGCAGCTTGGGCAGGACTTGCAGCTCCTCAGCAGCTTGGGCAGGACTTGCAGCTCCTCAGCAGCTTGGGCAGGACTTGCAGCTCCTCAGCAGCTTGGGCAGGACTTGCAGCTCCTCAGCAGCTTGGGCAGGACATGCAGCTCCTCAGCAGCTTGGGTAGGACTTGCAGTTCCTCAGCAGCTTGAGAATGACCCAGGAGGTCAACAGTTGTAAATATGACTCAGATACGACCTGTGTATATAGCAGAGCTTAGAGTTTAGTACTTCAAGGGGCAGTCCACCCATCGCCCTCTATACATTGTGACAACGAATGTCCCATTCTCTACGGACTGTCAAGTTGTGGACTGTTGGAAACACTAACAGGCAGGAAATAACCAGATGGAGTCGGTGCTAAATTCAAAGTGTTCTGTGACTCCGCTCAGTCATCCTTTCAGTGATTTACAAATCTGCACGAATAAATTCCTGACGTGTCACAACATACAGCGACTCGATCATTTTTCAGAAAAAGTCCGCCTTTTATCATTGAAAAGCCGTCCTTGAGCTTCAGTCCAAGACTGAGATGATGTCTTCAGTCTGCTGCAGGCGGGAGGAAGCATTTCCTCGGTCTCCTCTCCCCTCATTGATCACTCATACTGTACATTGCAATGGTGTATCAAGTCACGAGGTGAGAGGCTGCAGCAGGGAGGGGCTGGTCTGTGTCAGGCATTTGTGAACACAACAAACGACTTGTTGGGAGGTGCAGAGTGGTGCGGGGAGTGCATGGTTGCAGCAAAACCTGGAAATTGTATGAAACAAAATGCCGTTACAGAGAACCTTCTTGGGAAACAACTCCGAGTTCAATGCAGTTAGAAGAGTAGAAAGAGAGGTGTCGACAGCGTCTGTTTCAGTGGGTGAAGTGAAGCCTGGGCTGGCCAGTCCCAAGAGGGAATCTCCCTTCCAGGGTAGCAAGTCCCTAATATTTCTCTCCTAGTCAGGAACCTTTCCTTACTACTAGTTACTTTCCCTAACACGCGGGGTCTCTCCATATACTAGCCACATCCTCTCATATTTTACAAATTGGGGTATATATTATTTTTTGATGTTTTTTTAATTCATTAAAGTTTTTCCCCCAAAAATTGCATTTGTAAAACCGTTGCGCAAATAGATGTACTAGCAGATTTAGATACACTAACATATTGAAGCCTCTGTTTTCCTGGTGATCTGGCCAATAACACACCCCCTGTATAACTGGATGAAGGAGCACAGGGGGCACAGCAGCTTGGGGGGAAAGGGGAGAGTGTATGTTAGATTTAGATACACTAACCCTCACTGGTGATGGCCAATAACAACCCCTTGTATTAGAGCACCCCCACTCTGGATGAAGGGCACAGCAGCATTGTCAGTCGGGGGGGGGGGGAGAGATGTACTAGCAGATTTAGATACACTAACACATTGAAGCCTCTTTTCCTGGTGACCTGGCCAATAACACACCCCCTGTATTAGAGCACCCCCACTCTGGATGAAGGGGCACAGCAGCATTGTCAGTCTGGGGAAGGGGGGGGGGGGGGGAGGGGAGTATTAGATGTACTAGCAGATTTAGATACACTAACACATTGAAGCCTCTGTTTTCACCTGGTGATCTGGCCAATAACACACCCCCTGTATTAGAGTGCCCCCACTCTGGATGAAGGAGCACAGGGGGCACAGCAGCATTGTCAGTTGGGGGGAGAGGGGAGTGTTATATGTACTAGCAGATTTAGATACACTAACATTGAAGCCTCTGTTTTCCTGGTGATCTGGCCAACAACACACCCCCGGTATTAGAGTGCCCCCACTCTGGATGAAGGAGCACAGGGGGCACAGCAGCATTGTCAGTTGGGGGGAGAGGGGAGTGTTATATGTGCTAGCAGATTTAGATACACTAACATTGAAGCCTCTGTTTTCCTGGTGATCTGGCCAACAAACCCCCCCCCCCCCCCGGTATTAGAGCACCCCCACTCTGGATGAAGGAGCACAGGGGGAACAGCAGCATTGTGAGTCTGGGTGAGTGTTAGATGGACTAGCATATTTAGATACACTAACACATTGAAGCCTCTGCTTTCCTGCTGATCTGGCCAATAACACACACCCTGTATTAGAGTGCCCCCACTCTGGATGAAGGAGCACAGGGGGCACAGCAGCATTGTCAGTCTGGGGGAGTGTTAGATGGACTAGCAGATTTAGATACACTAACACTGAGGACTCTGTTTTCCTCATGATCTGGCCAACAACACACCCCTTGTATTAGAGTGCCCCCACTCTGGATGAAGGAGTGTTAGATGGACTAGCAGATTTAGATACACTAACAAATGAAAGCCAAACTCCAACTCACACTATAATCAGTTCCAGCAAGCCGAGTTTTTTCTTTTGGGATAACGGTTTTACATACATAAAGTCTGATCACTGTAAGCACCGCTGTCCGCGGTAAATGGATTTGTCTCATCCCTGTAACTGCTACATCTGCTGGAGAGCTTGTTCCCCAACAACAGACTTGCTGGCTGGATCACCAGATGAAATTGGAAGAAAGCAAGCCTAAAAAAAAAGAAACCGAATGCAGCCGCCACATCTAAGAATTGGTAAGCTGCAACGTCGTACATGTTTGCTTTTGGGTTCAGTATGGCTTCCAGTCCGCCCTCCCACCTGCACCGCCGGGGGTGAAAAGGGAAGGCGAAATCTAAACAGATGAAGATTCAGCTTTAAAGTGTCATTTATATTTATATATATATATATTTTATTTTTAATTTTTTTTTTAAATATATATATATAAATAAATATATGTGTGTATATATATATATATATATAATTTTTATATATATATATTTAAATATATATCTATAATTTTTATATATATGTATATATATAAACAAATGTAACTTTGTAACATAAATTGTTTTTTTTTTTGTTATCAATAATAAATAAAAATAAAACAATATAAAATGATCAATAGTAGTGACATAATAAAAGGTAACACAGGAATGGAGTACCCATGGGGAATACATTCTTGTCGTGTCACTGAGGACAATATCAGCATCGGTCATACATTGTTATGGCAGTACACCCAAACCTCTCCGCCATCTTGGTGCTCTCACACACCTCCTGTGCCTGCCTACAACTTCCGGATTGAGCTCGCTCCTCCCCACTCCAGGAAGGCTGTGACGGAAAAGGCTGGGCGCATGCGCAGTAGACCGGCAGCGCCCAGTGACTACATTTCCCGGCCTGCCCTGGACTGTAGCCGGCGGTGGAAGAGATTGTGAGGTGAGAGGAGCTGCCTTCTGCCGTCCTGGTAATATTATTATTACAATGATGGGGTCAGAGGGGGCTCTCTGCTGTCTGTTTACTATATTATGGGTGGAGGGGCCTGGTGGGCGCACTACAGGTCCCAGCAGTCTGCCTCAGATCTCTGGGCACACACAGGCCGGTTCCGGAGTTCTGGTGGTTTCAGACACCTTTTGTTCACAAGGACGACCGAACAGATCGCGGCGACTGACTGAAACTTTGGAGTGTCGTGGTGACCCCCCCCCCCACAAAGCGCGGTTTCCATGGTGACACTGTAAAACGCTCGGCGCACAGGATACAGGAATTGCCCACCGGTGGGGTACAACAGCGACAAGGTGTATCTACAGCAAAACATGGGAGCGTGAGACCCCCCTGGCAGGTTTTATTGATGTCTGTGTCCCCAATGGGGAGATTCACCCTCACTTCCTGTCCAGGTGACACGGCAGGAAGTGAGAGGAAACTCCCTCCTAGCGCTTACTAGAATAAGTGTCAGCATTTCACCTCGCTTCCTGATCAGGTGACACGACAGGAAGTGAGGGGAGACCCACTAGAATAAGTGTCCCCAATGGTGTGTTTCCTTTCACTTCCTGTCCAGGTGACACAACAGGAAGTGAGGTAAACTCCCTCCTAGTGCTTACTAGAATAATTGTCCCTATTGGAGTATTTCACCTCACTTCCTGTCCAAGGGGCAAGTCAGAAAGTGAGAAGAGCCCTCCTCTTACTGTTTACCAGAATAAATGTCACCATTGGTGTATTTCCCCTCACTTCCTGCTCAGGTGACACGACAGGAAGTGAGGGAAAACTCACTAGAATAAGTATCCCCAATGGTGTATTTCAGCTCACTTCCTGTCCAGATGGCAAGTCAGGAAGTGAGAAGAGCCCTCCTCTTAGTGTTTACCAGAATAAGTGTTCCCATCAGTGTATTTCCCTTCACTTCCTGTCTTGGTGACACAACAGGAAGTGAGGGGAAACTCCCTTCTAGTGATTACTAGATTAAGCGTCCGCATTTCACTTCACTTCCTGATCAGGTGACACGACAGGAAGTGAGGAAAGACTCACTAGAAAAAGTGTCCCCAATGGTGTATTTCACCTCACTTCTTGTCCAGGTGACACAGCAGGAAGTAAAAGGAACCCTTCTCTTAGTGTTTACCAGAATAAGTGTCCCACATGGTGTATTTCCCCTCACTTCCTGTCAAGGTGACACTACAAGAAGCGAGAGGAACCCCCCTTATAGTGTTTTCCAGAATAGTCCTTCATTTGGAGGATTTCCCTACACTTCCTGTCCAGGTGGCACTACAGGAAGTGAGTTACCCCCCCCCCCCCCCCTTTACCAGAATAAGTGTCCCCTTTGGTGGCTTTTTCCTTCATTTCCTGTCCTGTGACATGACAGGAAATGAGAGGCTACCCCCTTGCAGAATAAGTGTCCCCATAGGAGGGTTTCCCATCACTTCCTGTCCAGGTGACACTACAGGAAGTGAGACTCCCCCCCCCCCCCCCCCTTCCTTCCTCTCCTTAGTGTTTACCAGAGTAAGTGTCCCCTTTGGATGTTTCCTCACTTCCTATCCCAGTGACACAACAGGAAGTGAGAAGACCACCCTTAGTGTTTACTAGAATAAGTGTCCCCATTGGAGGATTTTCAATCACTTCCTATCCCAGGAACATGACAGGAAATGAGGCAACCCCCTTGCATTCCCCAGAATAAGTGTCCCCACTGGAAGATTTCCCCTCACTTCCTGTCCAGGTGACAACAGGAAGTGAGAGGCCCCCCTCCCTTCCTTAGTGTTTACCAGAATGTGTCCCCATTGGAGGGTTTCTCTTCACTTCCTATCCAGGTGACACGGCAGGAAGTGAGGGAAAGGACATCTCTGGCTTTACAATAAGATATACAATGAAAATTGGACGATTCTATTTACAAATGTCATGAGATGGGGGGGAGGGGGGGTGAACTAGAACCGGATTACACGCCTGATGCCCACGTATGATCTGTAGCGGGTTCGGAAGGATGGTGGAACTCTCTGAGGGGTTAATGGCGGGGGATGGGGGAGACATGCGGAGGATTCCGGGCCGTCAGACTTCTGGATATAAAAGATGGCGAGTCGCACGGCTTGTCCCAAACATGACCAAATACGGGAAGAATGGAGGGAGGCACAGCTGAGGGCCCGGGGCCAACATATCTCACTACGCCCCCTAAATCTTCACCCCCTCCGGAGCCCCCGGCGCTAAATCCATAAACGCTTCTCATGCTTGGCGGAGGATGCAACCATTAACCCCGCGGATTCCTGCGCAGTCCCACTGGGGAGTTCAGGGACTTGTAGTGCCACACAAATCCGAAACAAGGACTGTCTGTGCTGCCCTGTAGCCAGCAGGCAGGTTCCCATTGGTTTGCTGGGCCGGGCGGGACCTGCGTGTTGGTTGCCGGGGGCGATGCGGACTGGTAGACGTAGTAATACTTTGATACATTCCAGGTAAAGTGTATCTAAAGGATGAACATTGTACATTGTATCCGGGACAACCTCACTAGTCCCCTCCCCCTCCTGACCCACGCTGACTGACCCGAGTAAGGGAGATGGAGGTACTTGCCTATTTTCAGCCCATTCCAGTGTGGTCACATGATCGTATGTCATCTGACTTCCCTGCCTGCTCTGCTCATGTGATCTGACTCTCCCCTGCCTGCTCTGCTCATGTGATCCAACTCCCCTATCTGCTCTGGTCATGTGATCTGGCTGCCCCCTGCCTGCTCTGGTCATGTGATCTGGCTGCCCCCTGCCTGCTCTGCTCATGTGATCTGGCTGCCCCCTGCCTGCTCTGCTCATGTGATCTGGCTGCCCCCTGCCTGCTCTGCTCATGTGATCTGGCTGCCCCCTGCCTGCTCTGCTCATGTGATCTGGCTGCCCCCTGCCTGCTCTGCTCATGTGATCTGGCTGCCCCCTGCCTGCTCTGCTCATGTAATCTGGCTCACCCCTGTCCCCTGCCTCCTGTCTGCTCTGGTCATGGGATTTGGCTCTCCCCTGCTCCCTGCCTGCTCTGGTCATGTGATCTGGCTGTCCCCTGCCTGCTCTGGTCATGTGATCTGGCTGTCCCCTGCCTGCTCTAGTCATGTGATCCAACTGCCTTGCCTGCTGTGGTCATGTGCCAAAATTTCCCTGTCCCCTGCCTGCTGCTCTAGTCATGGTCATGTGATCCAACTCCCCTGCCTGTTCTAGTCATGTGACCCAACTCCCCTCTACCCTGCCTGCTCTAGTCATGTGACCCAACTCCCCTGTCTGCTCTGATCAACCTTTTATGGTTGAACTAGATGGACTTGTGTCTTTTTTTCAGCCAGACTAACTCTACAAGTGTGATCATGTGATCTGACTCCCCTGTCCCCTGCTCATTCTAGTCATGTGATCCGGCTCCCGTGTCAGTCAGTGGTGGCTGCAGGGGGGAGAACGGGAGGAGGCCGTGCCGACAACAGATTGCCCATGGGAGCCCATAGATGACATCACCAAGCCCAGGCATTATCAGCCATTGTCAGCCTCTTCCTCCTCTCCCCTGCAGCTGCCCTTGGCTAACACGGGATCACATGACTGAACACAGGTAAGTATAGGCATCTTTCTAACACAGGTTAGTCAGTAGAGGGGTTAGGAGGGGGAGGGGACTTGTTAGATTTATCCTGGAATTTTACTTTAAAAGAGATTGTTTTGGTTCACTTTGACTCTCATTGTTGCTCTTCTTCCCACAGCCGGTCCGTCAGAGAATTTCCTCCCCCGCAGTGGTGTGTCCTCCATACCTGCCCTCTCCTGCTGGTCACTATGAACCTGGAACGAGTCCCCAACGAGGAGAAGCTGCAGCTGTGCCGGAAGTATTATCTGGGTGAGTGGTGTCACTGGGAGGCGGTGTCACTGGGAGGCGGTGTCACTGGGAGGCGGTGTCACTGGGTGAGTGGTGTCACTGGGAGGCGGTATCACTGGGTGAGTGGTGTCACTGGGAGGCGGTGTCACTGGGAGGCGGTGTCACTGGGAGGCGGTGTCACTGGGTGAGTGGTGTCACTGGGAGGCGGTGTCACTGGGAGGCGGTGTCACTGGGTGAGTGGTGTCACTGGGAGGCGGTGTCACTGGGTGAGTGGTGTCACTGGGAGGCGGTGTCACTCGTTTGTGACAGAGATGGTTTTCCAGGCATGTCACCTATAAGTGAGACGCTACACCAGTCTTGGAATAAGTCCTTCAGCACCAAAGTGTGCCCCTCCCCCCCCCCCCCCCCCCCGACCTGTGAATGGCAGTATAGGGTGCACATTCTGCAAAAGCACCCAAGGCGGCCCCCCTACTGCCCCTCAGCCCGGCCCCGCGGTACTCAGTGACTCTCTTTATTTTGCAGGTGGATTCGCGTTGCTGCCTTTCCTGTGGTTGGTGAACGTTCTCTGGTTCTTCAAGGAAGCTTTCTTCAAGCCGGCCTACACGGAGCAACCTCAGATACAGAGCTGTGAGTGTCAGATGTGGGTGGAGCGGGTCGGGGCCCCCTTTCCTCGCTTCCAGGGATAGAGCATACACAGGGCCCCCCTTCCTCTGTCCCAGGGATAGAGCATACACAGGGCCCCCCTTCCTCTCTCTCAGGGATAGAGCATGCACAGGGCTCCCCTTCCTCTCTTCCAGGGATAGAGCGTACACAGGGCCCCCTTTCCTGTCTCCCAGGGATAGAGCGTACACAGGGCCCCCTTTCCTGTCTCCCAGGGATAGAGCGTACACAGGGCCCCCTTTCCTCACTCTCGGTGATAGAGCGTACACAGGGCCCCCTTTCCTCACTCTCGGTGATAGAGCGTACACAGGGCCCCCTTTCCTGTCCCAGGGATAGAGCATGCACAGGGCCTCCTTTCCTCTCTCCCAGGGATAGAGCATGCACAGGGCCTCTTTTCCTCTCTCCCAGGGATAGAGCATGCACAGGGTCTCCTTTCCTCTCTCCCAGGGACAGAGCGTACACAGGGCCCCCTTTCCTGTCTCCCAGGGATAAATCGTACACAGGGCCCCCTTTCCTGTCTCCCAGGGATAGAGCGTACACAGGGCCCCCTTTCCTGTCTCCCAGGGATAAATCGTACACAGGGCCCCCTTTCCTCTCTCCCAGGGATAGAGCATGCACAGGGTCTCCTTTCCTCTCTCCCAGGGACAGAGCGTACACAGGGCCCCCTTTCCTGTCTCCCAGGGATAAATCGTACACAGGGCCCCCTTTCCTGTCTCCCAGGGACAGAGCGTACACAGGGCCCCCTTTCTCCTCTCTCCCAGGGACAGAGCGTACACAGGGCCCCCTTTTCCTCGCTCCCAGGAATTAGAATATACACGGGGCCCCCATTCCTCACTCCTGTGGATGGAAAGGAACATCAGGGGAGCGAAAGATGAACCATTAAAGAGGACCTGTTTACCTGTTTTTCCCTATCAGTCCCCAGTCTACAATGGCCTTGTGGCGGCGGGCCTACCTCAACAAGCCATGCAGCATACAGCCAGTCACACTGTAGTGGCATAGGTATGTACGAAGGGGAATCATGGGACTGGCTGAACAGAATGACAAATCTTGTTTCCTTCCGCAGATGTGAAGCGATCGGCGTTCGGCCTCTTGTGTGTGGGTGGCGATCCTGACCACCTGGATCAGCATCTACCAAACCCATCGAGCCAGCTGGGGGGCGACCGGTGACTACCTCTCCTTTACAATCCCTCTGGGCATCCCCTGATCGTCGGATGACTGTGACCTTCCACACGGGACCACCTTCCCTTCACCAGCATTAAACCGCTCCCCGCCCCCGAGGACTGACACTAATGATACTACGACCAATACCTGGACTGATGACCTCACCTCCGGGAGGGGGGGGGTGCTGGATTGTTGATATGAAAATAAAGAGTCGATATGGATTTCAATAGTCACTCTGTTCACTTTTTTTTCAGCAGCAAATTTCTGCTTTTCACACGTCGGAGATGGAAATAGATTGAGCCCGGGTTCAGACGGTGCGGAACTGGCAGCATTTTCAATGCGAATTCCACACCACATCAGAATCGCACCCCATTCATGTGAACCGCTGCGGGTGTGTATGACAACCACCTCCCGCCCGTCCGAGTTGCTGTTTATAAACTGCCTCCCCGCCCCCTGCTTGTGCGCGCTCCCTGGGAGCGCGCAGCACCGCGATCCGGTGCCCACTGTGTCCTCCGGACACAGCGAACACCGATCGTCAGACGGGACCTCTGTGTGAGGTCCCGATCATGTGATCGCTGATTGGCCAATCAGTGATCACATGCAGAGTAGTAAGGAAGATGTCACTTCTGACATCATTGCTTACTACTTGTGAAATCTGTGAATGATAACAGAGATCACATGGTACAGGGCTATTCACAACAGCCTTGTACCATGTGACAAGCTGCAACCAATCACAGCTCACACAGTATTTCTCAATGGCTGCAGGAATGCAGCCAGAGGGAAGGAGAAATGATTGCTTTTACAGCCTTTATGGGTATAAAAGCAATCCGTGTAATAAAAAAAAAATCTTCATCACCCCCCACAAGTGGTACAGTGTCACCATGGTGACACCACACTGCTAGGGTGACAGTATGTAAAAAAAAAAAACATAATAATTTAAAAAAATTAAAAATGTTTAAAAATGATAATTTTTGGTTATAAACTAATTTGGGTTTTTTTTTTTTTTTTTTTACTAAAAAGATAACAGAATAAATTTTGGCCAAGTTTTATGATGAAATATTATTTATTTGCAAAATTTTATAAGAAAAACACTTTTTTTTTTAAATTTTTGGACTTTTTCATTTACATAGCAAAAAAACTTAAAATCCCAGCGGTGCATAAATACCAACAATATAAAGCTTTATCTGTCTCAAAAAATGCTAAAAAATTCATACGGGTACAGTGTTGCATGACCGCGCAATTGTCATTCAAAGTGTGATAGCGCTGAAAGCGGAAAATTGGCCTGGACTGGAAGGGGGGGGTGAAAGCGTCCGGACTGGAAGGGGGGGGGGGGGAAAGCGTCCGGACTGGAAAGGGGGGGGGGGGGGGGGGGAAAGCGTCCGGACTGGAAGGGGGGGGGGGAGGGAAAGCGTCCGGACTGGAAGGGGGGGGGGGGAAAGCGTCCGGACTGGAAGGGGGGGGGGGGAAAGCGTCCGGACTGGAAGGGGGGGGGGGGGGGGAAAGCGTCCGGACTGGAAGGGGGGGGGGGGAAGCGTCCGGACTGGAAGGGGGGGGGGGGGGAAAGCGTCCGGGACTGGAAGGGGGGGGGGGGGAAAGCGTCCGGACTGGAAGGGGGGGGAAAGCGTCCGGACTGGGGGGGGGGGGGGGGGAAAGCGTCCGGACTGGAGGGGGGGGGGGGGAAAGCGTCCGGACTGGAGGGGGGGGGGGGGGGAAAGCGTCCGGACTGGAGGGGGGGGGGAAAAGCGTCCGGACTGGAAGGGGGGGGGGGAAAGCGTCCCGGACTGGAGGGGGGGGGGAAAGCGTCCGGACTGGAAGGGGGGGGGGGAAAGCGTCCGGACTGGAAGGGGGGGGGGGGAAAGCGTCCGGACTGGAAGCGTCGGACTGGAAAGGGGGGGGGGAAAGGTCCGGGGGGGGAAAGCGTCCGGACTGGAAGGGGGGGGGGAAAGCGTCCGGACTGGAGGGGGGGGGGGGAAAGCGTCCGGACTGGAGGGGGGGGGGGGGGGGAAGCGTCCGGATTGGAAGGGGGGGGGGGGGAAAGCGTCCGGATTGGAAGGGGGGGGGGGGGGGGGAAAGCGTCCGGACTGGAAGGGGGGGAAAGCGTCCGGACTGGAATGGGGGGGGGGGAAAGCGTCCGGACTGGAAGGGGGGGGGGGAAAGCGTCCGGACTGGAAGTGTGGGGGGAAAAAGCGTCCGGATTGGAGGGGGGGGGAAAACAGCGTCCGGATTGGAAGGTGGGGGGGAAAGCGTCCGGACTGGAGGGGGGAAACAGCGTCCGGATTGGAAGGGGGGGAAAGCGTCCGGACTGGAGGGGGGAAACAGCGTCCGGATTGGAAGGGGGGGAAAGCGTCCGGACTGGAGGGGGGGGGAAACAGCGTCCGGATTGGGAAGGGGGGGAAAGCGTCCGGATTGGCCAAGGGGGGGGGGGGAAAGCGTCCGGACTGGAAGGTGGGGGGGAAAGCGTCCGGACTGGAAGTGGTTAACAACTTCCCAAAAACATAAAACGTGGTGCGATGTGCAGAATGGGATCCCATAGGTGTGAATACCCATGTGATCCGATTCTAGTGTGGACCCAAAAAAGGGTCCTGCATGTTTTAGGTGCGGTGGGAATAGAGCCATACAAAATGTACAGCACAAATCGCATGTGATTCACACAGGAATGCGGTGCGGTTCCTGCGTGAATCACATACGATATACCTCACCGTGCATATATGAACCCGGGCTCAACCAATTGAGTGACTCCCATTCAGGATAAGGTGACAGGTTCTCTTGAAAAACCAACCTTCCCCTTTCCCTTCTTTTCTTCTGCTAGAACACTAGTACTTCAGGATATGGGGGATCATGTGACCTTCCTCCCAGAATGCAGTGCTCTGAGTGGCCAATCGCCAAGTTTTTGGGAAGGGTTAAGTTACAGAATTCGAGCTCCGCCTCCGACAGAGAAGTGCGGGAAAGTATCGGAGGATGTGAGGTGCCTAACAAGACCACCGGCTACTTTGCCCTGAAAGAGTAAGGTGACGGGTTCTCTTTAACATGCTGGCAATGGAGGAAGAGGGTGACCAGACCCCCCCTTCCCCCTCGCATAGCCATGTTTAGAAGAAACCATATACAATGAAGTGAGATTTTTTTTTTTTTCTTTTTTGGCCATGGCAGATTTTCCCCCACTTCCTGATCCAGTGACCACACGAGAAGTCACACAAATGTTCCCGATATGTAGAATCAGTTCAGCTCCATCCATAGAACAGGTGAGGACCTCACAAGGTTCCTGATATGTAGGATCAGCTCGGCTCCATCCATAGAACAGGTGAGGACCTCACAAGGTTCCTGATATGTAGGATCAGCTCCATCCATAGAACAGGTGAGGACCTCACAAGGTTCCTGATATGTAGGATCAGCTCGGCTCCATCCATAGAACAGATGAGGACCTCACAAGGTTCCTGATATGTAGGATCAGCTCGGCTCCATCCATAGAACAGATGAGGACCTCACAAGGTTCCTGATATGTAGGATCAGCTCGGCTCCATCCATAGAACAGATGAGGACCTCACAAGGTTCCTGATATGTAGGATCAGCTCGGCTCCATCCATAGAACAGATGAGGACCTCACAAGGTTCCTGATATGTAGGATCAGCTCAGCTCCATCCATAGAACAGTGAGGACCTCACAAGGTTCCTGATATGTAGGATCAGCTCAGCTCCATCCATAGAACAGGTGAGGACCTCACAAGGTTCCTGATATGTAGGATCAGCTCCATCCATAGAACAGGTGAGGACCTCACAAGGTTCCTGATATGTAAGATCAGCTCGGCTCCATCCATAGAATAGGTGAGGACCTCACAAGGTTCCCGATATGTAGGATCAGCTCGGCTCCATCCATAGAACAGGTGAGGACCTCACAAGGTTCCCGATATGTAGGATCAGCTCAACTCCATCCATAGAACAGGTGAGGACCTCACAAGGTTCCTGATATGTAGGATCAGCTCCATCCATAGAACAGGTGAGGACCTCACAAGGTTCCTGATATGTAGGATCAGCTCAGCTCCATCCATGGAACAGGTGAGGTCCTCACAAGGTTCCTGATATGTAGGATCAACTCCGTTCCATCCATAGAACAGATGAGGACCTCACAAGGTTCCTGATATGTAGGATCAGCTCCATCCA